TAGATTGCTATGCTACAGGACTCCGGTAGAAGTCGAGTAATTGTCTGTCACTCGCGAGAGATAGGAAATATATTACGGAATTATTATCACTTGGAAAATATAAATGGTGGAAAGGACATTGGTGACCGGGATGGGATATGGTTTGGGTATTGGTGGGTGTAAGAGGTTGTGTCGCCATGGAAGCGGGGCATGGCTTGGTTACACTGCTTTCCCTGTCTGTGTCGGTTAAGGACCGATCGTTGCATAAGCCATCGAGGCAAGTCACAGATCTATTGTCTCGAGCACATACTTGGGTATGGGTGCTTGGAATACTTGTTGCTCTCTTGTCGTGGGTTCTGGCTCTTTCCGGACCGACTGTCAGGGTAATTTTTTTGGTGGAGGAGGTCCTTGCACCGCACTGAGTCCGGGACTCAGGGGCGGGGGCTTGGAGTCCCAGTTTGGACGGGGACCTAGGACCCTAGGAGAGGAGGGTGATGGGTTGGTCCTGCTTGTGCCTTGGATACAAGCGGGGCGTATGTTTTTGGAGCACCCAGCTGGGCACATTGGTTCGCGAATCGCCGCCGAGTCGGTACGGCTTGTCTTGCCTAGCACCATTGTAAGAACTAAAGATGAAAGATGAAAGATGGAAAAAGGAAATCTGATTGCTTACCACCTAGTTGAAAGTAGCACAGGTGCTTACATAGAATGGTTAGTTAATGAATCAATGCGGCTATTAATAAAAATCATATATAAGGACGCACGCTTAGTAATGCTTCCTGCTAATGCAATAAACTCACAAGCTAGATAGCCTTGCATATCCTTGGAGTCTTTTCTTTCCTCCTGTCGGGTAAGTCTTGCTGAGTACAATTGAGTACTCAGGGTTTTATTCCCCCTGTTGCAGGTGATATGTGGATGCTAGAGCTGACCCTTGTGTGTGGATACCTCCTGGTGGGCTCAGCGAGGATTCCTTTACGCTGCGATCGTAGTTGTTATTTATAACTCTAACCAAATATTTTTATAAATGAAAGTTTTATAATCTGTTGTCATAGTTTATATATCAATACTTCATCATGTCATGATTAGATATTTATTTCGGGTGTAATTCTGATCACATGTTTATATTCCGCTGTTACATTAAATTACTCATAACTCTAATAATATGATTAAATTCCGCTGTTATAATAATAAATGTTATACTCTGAGGTACATGTAAAGTGATGTAAGAAATGGTTAAGATTGATGTAAGCTTTATTCTCTCATTTGTGATCCTGATGGCAAAAATGTGGAATTTTGGGTTCTCCCCTAGGGTGTGTCCGACGAAACCGAGTAATTTGGTGTTCTCCCCTGAGTGCTTAGTGTCTAATGGAAGACAAGCACTCCTGGGAGGCATTAGATTAGGCGGTTCTGCCATATTCCGGCACTTGAATGCGATTACTGCTAAGGCCAAATATCTGGTACTGGTGATCGAGGAGTTGTTGGATGAGCTGACTCATGCCTCGTGGTTCACTTGTTTGGATCTCACAGCCGGCTATCACCAAATCCATTTGCAGCCGGGTGAAGAACCAAAAACAGCTTTCCAAACCCTCTCGGGTCAGTACGAGTTCTGGGTCATGGCATTTGGACTCACGGGGGCGCCGACCACATTTCAGAAGGCGATGAACACTACCCTGGCATCATTGCTTCGCAAGGGAGTTTTGGTTTTCTTTGATGATATCCTCATTTACAGCCAGTCGCTTGAAGAACATTTGGTCTACCTTCGGCAGGTGTTGGAACTCTTACGCCGTGATCAGTGGCAAGTTAAACGCTCCAAATGTGTCTTCGCCCAATGTTAGTTGAAATATTTGGGGCATGTTATTTTGGAGCGGGGTGTGGCGACTGACCCAGAAAAGGTTCAGGCAGTTCTGAATTGGCCAGTACCATCCTCGACTAAGGAGCTTCGTAGCTTCTTAGGATTAGAAGGCTACTACAAGCATTTTGTGAAGCATTTTGAGGTGATTTCCTGCCCTCTAACAGAATTGCTGAAGAAAGGAGCCTTGTTCCTATGGTCAACAGTTCATGATGCTGCTTTTCATGCTCTGAAGCAGGCCCTGACATCTGCTCTAGTGTTGGCCTTACCGGATTTTTCCAAGCCCTTTTGTGTGGAGACAGATGCCAGCGGGACGGGCATTGGTGCCGTGCTTACACAGGAGGGTCATCCACTGGCTTTCCTCAGTAAATCTCTGTGTCCACACTCCCAAGGTCTGTCTACATACGAGAAAGAATACCTGGCTATCCTTTTGGCACTGGATCAGTGGCGCAGCTACTTACAGCATACTGAATTCCGCATTGTGACTGATCAGAAGAGTTTGGTTCAAATTTCGAGTAACGATCGTTGCACGCCTTGCCTTAAAGAAAAGGTTTTACCAAGCTCTTCGGATTGCGATGCAGATTGTGTATCGCAAGGGAGTGGATAATCGCGCTCATCGATGCTTTGTCTCGAAAATCGCAACGCGCAGTTGTTCTGCGGTCTCTGTGGCTCAACCGCAATGGTTGCAAGAGGTGGCTGCTTCTTATGAATCAAATGCACATGCGCAACAGCTGATTGCTAAACTGGTAATTGATCCTGCGGCTGTACCTGTTTCAATTTTTGGGATGGATTGCTGCGCTACAATCAGCGCGTCTGGATCGGTCATAATGAGGAGCTCTAGACTCGTATCATTGCTGCTCTCCATGACAGCTTGTCGGGGGTCACTCCGGTATTCTGGTGACTTATCGCCGTATCAAGCAGCTTTTTGCTTGGACAGGTTTGAAAGCAGCAGTCCAAGACTTTGTTCATTCCTGTCTAACTTGTCAGCAAGCCAAGCCGGACCGATCTCGATTACCTGGTCTCCTGCAACCCTTGTCGGTTCCGGATCGTGCCTGACAAGTGATCTCCATGGATTTCATTGAGGGTCTTCCATTGTCCGGCGGCTTTGACTGTATTCTGGTTGTCATGGACACCTTTTCCAAGTGTGCACATTTTTTGGGCCCTAAGCATCCTTTCACTGCTGCTGGGGTAGCTAAGCTGTTTTTATCCCAAGTCTACAAGTTGCATGGGTTGCCCAACACTATTATCTCAGATCGGGATCGTATCTTTACCAGTCACTTATGGTGGGAGTTGTTCAAATTGGCTGGGGTTGATCTGTGTATGAGTTCGGCATATCACCCGCAATCGGATGGACAAACAGAGAGGGTCAATCAGTGCTTGGAGGCTTTCCTCAGGTGTTATGTCCATGCTTGTCCACGCCGCTGGAGTTCTTGGCTTGATGTGGTGGAGTTGTGGTATAATACATCACTCCATTCTGCTCTCGACCGTTCTCCATTTGAGGTGCTGTATGGGTTTGCTCCTCGACAGTTTGGGCTGCCGGCTGCTGATGATCATCCCATCTCTGATTTGTCTGAGTGGTTCCGTGACCGTGATCTGATGACTCAACTAGTCAAACAACATCTTCATCGAGCTAAGCAGCACATGAAGAAGCAGGCGGATGAACGCCGTTCTGAGTGTGAGTTTCAGGTTGATGAGTGGGTTTTCCTGAAGCAATAGCCCTATGTGCAATCGTCCTTGGCAGACCGTGCTAACCAGAAGCTGGCATTCAAGTTTTTCGGGCCATTTCGTATCATTGAGCGCATTGGGTCCGTCACCTACCAGCTAGAGCTTCCTGCTTCTTCCTCTATTCACCCTGTCTTTCATGTTTCTTAGCTCAAGAAAGCAGTAGGCGGTCATCACATTGTGGAGAAGAATCTGCCTCCTTCTTCCATTCGTTGGAGTATTCCTGAGAAGATTCTTCAACGTCGCTCCATCTTCAAAGGTGCGGTTCCTGTGTGTCAAGGGTTGATCAAGTGGTCTCAGTTGCCTTCATCTCTATCCACAAGGGAGGATCTTGATTACCTTCGTCAACAATTTCCGCGCGCTGTTGTCTGGGGTCATCCAGGTGCGCAAGGGAGAGGGGATGTCATGACCGATGTCCAGCACTCTGTGCCGAATGAGCAAGTGGAGTCTGCTGTGTCGGGCTCGGCGGGAGGAAGGCCTGATCGGCCCAAGAAGAAGAGCGTCCGGGTGTTTGGGCCACAGTGGGAGAATGAGTGAACCCAGTAAGTGTAGTGGGTGCGTGCGTGAGTACCGTTCACATATATGAGTTGGCCTCGGCCACGGAAGGGGGGTATGAATATTGTAACCAAATATTCTGAACTGCAACTAAGATTCGTCTGCTTCCGGTTCCTCCTGCTCTGCTGCCTCGCCCTTGCTCCGATTCCTCTTTCCCTTCCTCCAATTGCTGACAGAACCCCATGATCTGTTGATCCCGAGCGAACCAATCCTCATACGCTGGATTTGCAGTCTTGACGGTCTTGCCATCTGCTGCCTTCTCGGAGATCTCCACGTCGGGGGCAACGGTCTTGCTGTTGATGTGCCCCTCCATTCAGGCACCGCGTATCGCGGTAAGCACCTGCGCTTGCCATAGCACGTGGTTACTCTTGGTCAGCTTCTCGGAGACTTGACGGTCTCTGCTTGAAGCCATGAGTCTAAATCAGAGGCGCAAGAGCGTGGGAGGAAAGTCGTCTCTGAATATCGAGAGTACGACGGCTTCGTGTTAGCTTCTATGCACAGAACAGCCCTGTGCGTGGTCTTTACATAGAGTACAACAACCAGGTGCTAGTCCACGAGATTTTTTTTTGGATCATAACAACTCACAAACTACCAGGTCTTCCTATTCAACACGGATTACCTATTCTCAGGGACTACCTATTCTCCTGGGCTAAGATATCCTTGGTTGTTACAGATTAGGAAGACACGTACAGCATATGTGCATACCTGTTTATCTAACAAAAGTAACTACTGAACTTTTTTTTGAGAATAATTTTACACAAATATAGCAACTATCCTTTTCCCGGAGACCTTGAAAATACATTTTTGCCAGAGATACTGAAGAGGGTAGTTTCTTATTTTCCTTTAAGATGTTGTAGTTTATAGCAAATGATAAACTGTCCACACTGTTGAATTTTATTCAATAAAGACACCGGGGCTTGAGGAATGCCTCGCTGATCTCTAATATTTTCGAACAAATATCTCGTATTCCTGGTCGATCTTTGGGATGCTCCATGGAACATAATAGGGCAACTTCAACCAATGGTACCAGATAACACTGCAGCGTTAGTGTTGCAAATACAAGGTCTGGCTCCTGGAACATGTAGGGATCTAAAACCTCGTGAAGTCCATTTGGATATGCTGAGCTCACCAACTTGTGAAGGCTCATACCATCGCTAAACATTATGTCAGTGGGTCGCTTTCCGGTGAGCATTTCTAGTAGCAACACACCAAAACTGTACACATCGCACCCAGTTGAGATTTTATACCCCATTCCATACTCTGAAAAAACAAGAATTCCATGTTAGCAAAGAAAAATATATTATGAAACATATAACAGAGGGGAAGTTACCTGGTGCGATATATCCAATAGTTCCTTCCACGCCAACAAAACCTTCTGGACTACCAAGACTTGAAGAGAGAAACTTTGCAGATCCAAAATCACCAACTCGAGCTGTGATATCATAATCCAAAAGAACATTGGCTGGCTTCAGATCACAGTGAACTAGAGGTGGTGTCAGTTGGTTGTGCATGTAGTCCAAAGCAGAAACCACATCCATAGCTATTCTTATTCTCTGGCCCAAGCTCAAAACTCTCTTGGGGCTATTTTTGTGCAACTTTGGGTGCAGCCACATATCCAAGCTTCCATTGGCCATAAAATCGAAAACTATAGCTTTGAACTCCTTGTTTTCCATGTCCACTGTTGAGCATAAGGTCATTGCTTTCATAAGATTGCGATGGCGGGTGTTTCTGAGCACTTCACATTCCATACGAAAGCTGTTTAGAGAACCATGCTCGTCCAGATGGAACACTTTGATGGCTATGAAATCTGTGTCAAACTCAAACCTGCCAATGTAGACAGAACTGGTGCCGCTTGAACTGATCTTGTTTGCAGGAGAGAACCAGTTTGTAGCTTTAAGGATGTCAAAATAGGATACCTTCTTCATCGTCTGCTTGTAGCATGGAGCAGTCTCTATGTGTGCTCTTCTCTTCAGAAGAGCAACAATGATGCATAAGCATAAGCATAAGAATAAGGCAATAGTAATCGGTAGAATTACAGTTAACAAGAAGTGTGCATTCTTTTTTATTCCACCAGCTGCTACTCCGGGGCAAACAGGGAATACAGATGCAGAGGTAGTTGCATTTACACAGAGCCCTATGTTCCCATTTAAGATTACTGTCGTGGTATTCTGAAATACTCCTCCGGTTGGAATTGCCCCCCAAAAATTGTTGTAGGATAGGTTAAGTTGCTCCAATGCATTGAAGTTGTTGAAGAAATCTGGAATTTGTCCTGTTAAGTTGTTCTGAGAAAGATCAATCTGTTGGATGGAAAGACAATTGCCAAGTGAAGGAGGAATTTGCCCAGACAAGTTATTGTGGGAAATATTTAGAAGGACAAGCTGTTCGAGCAAACCGATAGATTGTGGTATTGATCCAATAAGATGGTTCTTCGACAAGTCCAAACTAAAAAGGGTTGTAATATTTGCCAGTCCAACCGGTATATATCCATCAAGGTTGTTAAAAGACAACTTTAGGATTGTCAATCGCTGACACTGCCCTAAACTTGCTGGTATGTTTCCACTTAAACTATTGCTATCGATAGAAAGCTGGGTTAACTGCTGAAGATTACCCACTCCAGGTGCGATCTGACCTGACAATCTGTTCTGGGATAGTCTTAGGACTACCAGGGCACTTAGGTTCCAAATGCTTAAAGGAATCTCTCCAGATATCGAGTTTTGGTCCATGGCAAGCAATTGTAGCTGTGAAAGATTGCCTATCTGTTCTGGTAGTTTTCCACTGATTTGGTTATTTCCAAGGTCTAATCTCTGCAGATTTGATGAAAGATTGCCAACAGAAATTGGCAGACTTCCGTCAAGCCTGTTGTCATCCATTATCAGCATTGTTAGATTGGAGCAATTTGTCAGAGAGGTAATGAATGCCCAGTTATCAGACTTTAGGGAGTTACTTCCTAGATTTAGTACACGTAAGTGAGGTAAAGATCCTAGAAGCGGCACTGGGCCAGCTAGTGCGTTATAGGAAAGATCGATCTCTTGGAGCTTTGATGCATTAGCTAGTGATGGTGGAATGAGTCCTGTGATATTGTCACCTGACATGATCAACATTTCAAGGTTTGGTAACAAGTTGCCAAGGGTGGCTGGTATATAATATCCAGAAAGATCATTATTGCCTAAATCAAGGATTCTCAGCGATGTTATGTTGTAGAGTTCTGCTGGGAAATGCCCAAATTGGTTGTAACCTAAAGTCAGAGCAGTAAGGTTGCGAATTCGACTTAAAGTCTCTGGAACTGATCCATCTAGCATATTTAAATCAAGGTGTATTTCCGTGAGGGAAGAAACATTTCCTAATGATGGAGGTATTCTTCCTGAAAGGTTGTTCTCTGCAAGGTTAAGAATTTGCAGAGTTGCCATAGTATGGAAATCTGGAATAGGCCCATTTAAGAAATTCTTTTGAAGATTGATAACGACAAGTCGAGGTGAGTCCTTGAAGAGACTAGCAGGGATAATTCCAGACAGGCTATTATTTGCAAGGATCAGATCCTGAAGCTTAGGAAGTGTGCCCAACTCCTCAGGGATGGGTCCATGGAACGAATTAGTTCCAAGATCTAACCGTATTATCGAAGTAAGGTTAGCAAGAGAAGGAGATAATTGCCCAGCCAGCTGTAAAGAGTTCAGCTCCAGTGAAACAACACGGGAAGGGGGAAGGGCCTTACCACAGACGACCCCTCTCCATGTGCAGAATGAGCCGCTAATGTCCCATGAGCTAAGGACGCCAAAAGGATCATTTGTGATGCCTTGCTTGAAGTTGAGGAGGGCTTGCAGTTCGATGTCGGAATTATTGGTCGAGTCTGCAGCTAAGATTGCGATTGGATTGGAGAGCAGGAAGATGAGAAGATGATCCACGAGAAGAAACATGAGTGCATGAGCCATCTCTCCACGTCTAAAAAGAGAGTGTGTGTTTTGTGTTTTCCTTTACTTTCTGGGATCCCTTGGTGTGTAGATTCCACTATAAATAATTCGTCTCTTGCTGTCCTGTCATACTAAAAAATAAGTAGCCCTGGACTACACGCTGACTTACCTGTTGCGATGACCGATGGGTGGATGAGGAGTGCCACGAGAAAGCAGAACGAAGGTGCCCAGAAGAAACATGGTCAATGGAGAATTTTCCATGCTTGCCAGTGCCCTATTCAACTAAAGAGTTTCAGTGAATAACTATGATATTTATCAAATAAACAATTCAAATTCTAACAACAAAGTGCATATATTTTTTTACCATCAGGAGTAATAGATTGTAATAGTCGAGATGGAATAGAGCTTTGAACAGACATCTTAGATCTTTAGAGTCCATAACTATTTAGAAGCATGATTATTCCTTTGTTATGTTCAAAGGTACCCTTCTGACCAAATATAATCAGTATAATATATTCCTACAAGGCATTTTCACCCAAAAATCACAGAGTTAGCTGCACGGCTCTTGGTCATCAAGACTACAGCATTTTTTTTTAACATAAGTGGCAGGAGCTATACTTTTCAATGAAGATGAAAAGAGTCATATATACAGGAAACAACAATATGTTTTCACTACCAGAACCCAATCAATGTTATAAAAACTTTTGCTAATGGCCAACAGTCATAACTGAGTAAACTTAGACGCTAGCACTCCTCTGGTTCAATTACACAAAGAAGCCGACACATCTTAAAGAGCATTTTCAGGACTAGATTAACTGGTCTAGCCCGGGTACACTAAGTTCATAATACGGTATAGCATCAAGGTTGATCACCCTATCCATCCATTTTCTACCATTAGAAATCCAGTGTGATATGTGACCATGTCCAACATAGATCATCCAACAAAGAATTTCTAAAACAAAAAAGAGCACATAAATACTTTATGCTTGTTTTCCGTGCACTGTTCCTGGCTTCCTGCTTCAGAAGGGCTAGTTCTTCCCACAATTAAACCTATCACCATGGTTTTAAGTGTCACCTAAGCATGATGCCATGACGTTTTTGAACCCAGCAGCCTGAGGCGGAGGCCGCACCGGTGAATCGAAAGGGGACGATGCAGTGGGGCGTGGGAGTTCCGCGCGCGGGCGAGATCAATGGAGTTGCGCGCCGGCCGGAAATCGCGACCCTTCTCCCCCATCTCCTCCGTGACATGTCAGTACCCAGGCCCCACCTGCAGTCCCAAAGGAGGCATCTACCAGCTCGGCTGCTACATCGCCTGAGCCCAAGCCAAGAAGACAACGAAGGCCCAGCAGCCGCTACGCCAGCCCAGCCTGGATCAAGTAGATGAGGACGTAGCATATAAGAACCTGAGAGAGAGGAGTAGAGGGGGATGAACCCAAACTTGTATCAAATTACTTTCTAAATTCGAAGCACTCCTCTAAACTAATTCCGTGCTCCTCTACCCTTGTTCTTCCTTTCCCCTTCCCCACATCTGTGCTACTCATAATTTGGTATCAGACTTCAGATCCCGCATCCTGGCCTCAGATCCGCCTCACCCACACTTCACCCGGTTCCAAAGATCGCTCGGAGCCATGGAGCTGAACCTGAAGACGATCCTGGAGGAGATCCAGCGTTCCAAGGAGGAGTTCCGCCTCAGATCCGCTGTCGACCTCCGCTTCGAGTACCTAGAGTCCACCTGCTGCACACTGCAGAACCTCAACCTCGAGCACGTCCACGTCGAGCAGGACAGCCACGTCACCGCACTGGAGGCCGCCGCCACCGACCTCGGTACCTGGCGCCCGGAGTTCAAGGGGGTCGTCGACGACCTCTCCCTCAAGGTCCAGAAGATCGCCAAACACTACGACCGCGTGGTGTTTGACAATTCGCTTCACCAGCCAGGCATCTTCTTGACCCCGACTTCAGCATCCGCGCAGCCTCTTGCCAGCACCGTCGTCGACTCGCCCAGTGGGCACGGCGTTGCACAGACTACAAGGGATCTTGGGTCCGGCGTCGTGATGACATGGACCCATGTCCCGACAAAGGGTATGTCGCCTCCCTCCCCCTCTAGTGTTCCATTGCCATCCCTTTCGATGCATCTTCCACCTCCAACACCAAATCCTCCACCACCAGCACCAAATCCTCCACCCCTAGCACCAAATCACAAGTACCTGCCACCAATTCCTCACCCCACCTCTCAACCAGCTTCCACCTATACAACATCCACCACCACTTCATCATCCATAGCCACTTCAACAATTTCCCCTCCCACCACACCATCCCAATATGCCTGACCCAAATCAAATCGCCTCCAACCTTGGCCGCCTTCCTAAGCTGCCCTTCCCTAAGTTCAGTGGTGAAAATCCACACCATTGGCATCGCCGTTGTGAGAAATACTTCAAAATGTACCAAGTGGATGAACCTATATGGATCAGCGTTGCCGAGATGTATCTTGAAGGGCCAGCCGATCGTTGGTACCAGTCCATCACCCCTTAGCTTGAGAACGCTACATGGGATACCTTCTGTCGCCTCCTACACGATCGCTTCGATCATGATCAGCACGAACTCCTACTTCGCCAGCTGTTCAATGTCTACTAGAAAACCATTGTGTCTGCCTATGTCACTGAGTTCTCCAAGCTCGTTGATCAGCTTAATTCCTATTCCCAAACCAATGATCCCATGTATTTCACCATGTGTTTCATCGATGGCTTGAAACCTGAGATCAAAGCAATTGTCATTGTTCAGCATCCAAAAACGTTCAATACTGCTTGCTCCCTAGCGTTATTACAGGAAGAGGTGGCTACGCCTACAGCAGTCAAGCCCACTCGCGGAGGTAATTGGTATTCTGCGTACAAGCCGGTGGTGGCTGCTCGGGGGCCGTTGCCATTGCCGCTCCCGCCACCGCGCCCCGAGAAGCCCGTTCCTGTCGCTCCAGTGCCTGCGGCCCCGACATAGTCTTCTACTGATCAAAAGCTGGCCGCCATCAAGACCTATCGTCATGCTCTTGGTCTGTGCTACAAATGCAGAGCCAAATGGAGCAAGGACCATCGCTGCTCGCTAGAGGTGTTGCAAGCTGTGGACGCTCTGTGGGATTCGTTCTCGTCTAAGGACTCCATGGCTGATTCTTCACCTGATCATGACCCGACTGAACATCTCATGCTGGTGCTATCTAAGTTGGTCATGTCTGGTATTCCAGCAGCGCGCACAGTTTTGTTGACGGGGTCCATTCAGCAGATTCATGTGCAGATTCTGGTTGACTCAGGCAGCTCATCATCTTTCATCAATGAGTCTCTGGTCTCGCAGCTTCAAGATATTCAGGTTTCTTCTCGGCCTAGCTCTGTTCAAGTTGCCGACAGAAGTCTGCTAGTCAGTCAGTCAATTCTGCGAAATGTTCCATGGACAGTTGATAAGTGCACCTTCCAGTCCGACTTCAAATCCTTGCCACTGGCTAATTTTGATGTTGTTATTGGCATGGATTGGTTGAAAGCTTATAGTCCGATGCAAGTAGACCGGAAACAAAAATGTCTGGCTGTACCTTATAAAGGTTCTGTTCAGATGCTTCAAGGTGTGACTGCTACAACGCCTCGGCACATGTTGCTACACATCGAAGGCATGCCCGAAGTGCCTGACTCCGGTCCTCTGTCAGCTATTCCGGCAGTGGTACAACCTCTATTGGAAGAGTTCAGTGACTTGTTTCAGGAACCAACTGCTCTACCTCCATCCCGTGCTTGTGATCATGAGATTCCGTTACTTCCTGGAGCACAGCCTGTCTTCATTAGACCTTATCGTTACCCACCAAAGTTGAAAGATGAAATTGAACGCCAAGTGCAAGATATGATGAGCCAAGGTCTGATTCAACACAGTAGCAGTGCTTTCACTTATCCAGTGCTCTTGGTTAAGAAAAAGGATGGCTCCTGTCGCTTTTGCGTGGATTTTAGACACCTCAATGCTATGACTCAAAAGTCTAAGTTTCCAGTGCCTGTCTTTGACCAACTTATGGATGAGTTGCATGATGCTCGCTGGTTCTCTACTCTTGACCTCCGGGCTGGCTTCCACCAGATCCTGCTCCACGCTAGTGAAGAACACCAAACCGCATTGCAAACACACCTTGGTCAGTACGAATTCAGAGTTATGGCATTCGGCGTCACCGGAGCCCCGGGTACATTCCAAGGCGCTATGAACGTATCCCTAGCTCCTGACCTCCGCAAGTTTGTCATTGTATTCTTTGATGACATCTTGGTGTACAGTCGGACACTTGAAGAACACCTTCAACACCTCCATCAAGTGTTTCAGTGGCTCCGGGCTGACTAATGGAAACTGAAAATGTCTAAGTGTCGCTTCATGTAGGAATCTATTTCTTACCTGGGTCATGTCATTACAGTAGCCGGCCTGTCTACAGACCCTACCAAGGTACAAGCTATTGCCGATTGGCCCACTCTGTCATCTATCAAAGAGCTCCGCGGTTTTCTAGGACTGGCGGGATACTACCGGAAGTTCGTCTACCACTTCGGCATCATTGCCAAACCACTTACCGAGCTGCTAAAGAAGGATCAGCCATTTGTTTGGACCGATCGCCAGTCTACAACATTTCAGTTGTTGAAGGATGTTCTTTGTTCTGCTCCTGTACTCGGCTTGCCAAACTTTTCTATACTCGGCTTGCCAAACTTTTCTGAGACCTTCCACATTGATATTGATGCCTCCGAATCCAGAATAGGCGCTGTGCTGCATCAACATGGTCATCCTTTTGCCTTCATCAGTAAACCTCTCAGTCTTCGCAATTAGGGGCTTACAATGTATGAGAAAGAGTATTTGGCAATATTGATGGCAGTAGATCAATGGCACCACTACCTTCTCTAACCAGAATTCGTCATCCATACTGACCATCAGTGTTTGACTCATCTCAATGAGCAGCGGTTCCACACGGCTTGGCAGCAAAAAGTGTTTGCACAACTTCAAGGCCTTTAGTACCGTATCCAATACAGAAAAGG